TATAAGTTTATATTCCTAAATTTCTGGAATCATGCTTCTATAATCACATACTCCTACATTAAATGCCTACATACCTATATTCCCATATTTTTATGTTTCCAGTTCTTAATCAATATGCGTTGCGTTCTCGAGTTTATCTCTCTTTTTTTCTCTCAACGACGAGCATAGCTAGGGAAACGCGCAGAATTTGAAAACAACACCGGCAAACGAGATATTTTTAATTCGCGAATGTATCGTTGCGATCCAAGTTTGGAAACCGACCAACGAACCGTAACGCGTCGCGATGTTTACGCGTCCAATTCGCGCTTCGTTCCACGTATTTCTGTTAAGCTCGCGCCTTTCAAACGACCAACGCGGCGATTCAGAATCACCGAAACAAATCCCGACCCAAATCGTCGCGATATCAAAATGTTCGTGTTTACCATCGAATATATCAACGTCTACCGCCAAATGAAAACGGGGCATTCTTGTTGCATTTTGATCTCGTTACGAGAATACTGCACGTATTAAATTTAATTTGGCGAATGGGGTTGATTCTTAATTACGATATCTTTCACGATATACACGCTTATATTTTTTGTGTTAATTTCTAACGTATAAATAGTCTTATATTTACTGTAACATTTCTATTTGTTATATCAAAGAATAATAAATAATATCATCTTCAATGAATAACATTTCTACCTTGCAGTATTATCTAGTTTTGAAAGATAATATAGACCTATGACTAAAGCTAACTCCACTTAATAGCGACCGAGGCTTATAAATAAACAAATAAATTTCATTCGATGCTAAAAATACGTATCGAGTGGCGAAACACGAATACGCACCGTACTCGAAAGAGTCGATACGCTGCGTACGATTTCGTAGGTTTCCGCCCGAAACGATTAAGCGCACCGACCTAGTAGCAGAAGAAAACTAGAGCTCGCGCGCGTCCAAGTTTTCGCTAGACGGTTTCGAAAGGACGCGCTTGACAACGAGTTCTATTCGCGCCACTAGGTCACCGAGAAAACTTGCTACGTCGCGTTCGAAATAGATCTTTCGGACGCGATCGCGATACGCTCGAGCCAACGTAAACGATGCGCCACGATCAACCCTATCTGCGAGATCTAGCTCTGGGTCATACCGTTTACCCTTTATTACTTTCCGTTCATTTCTCTTTCCGTTTACTTCTCTCGACTTTTCTTATTCCTACGAGTATGAACTTTAATTGTCGGCTGATTATGGACCGGGTCCAAAGATACGCGATAAACAATCGCTCTTGCAATTCACCAGACTTTCCGTTGTAAAAAATCTCCTCGTTTCGCTAACGAACACCGGTTTACTCCGATAACGCGACCATGTACGCTTTTATGGAGAATTCGGTACAGCAGTACAAATTGGCAAGCAACTTTTTTACAGTTTGAGTAAATCATGAAAATCTTGTTAGTCAATTTTATTTTCATTAACCTTAATAAACTATTTTTATAATGTTTAACTTTTTACTGTTCAAACTTTCTGTTATTTATAATTGGGTATGTAAAAAAATTTTCATTAAAAGAAATGATAGATTCGTCTGTCAACTACATATGACATTCAAAATGGCGCTTATTAACTCATGTATAATTTTTTAATTCAGTTAAAAAGAGGAATTACTTTAAACTTTACTTCACAATAATTAAAAACTCAATAATAAATTTGACAATAACTTTCTAAACATTGGTACATTCAGTAAATTATTTAAAAAGTCAATATAAACAATTTGAAATGTTTTAGTTAAAACAGGTATACTTGTAAAAATGTATAAAAACTTGGTGCGATAACTGTAGATAACACGTGTCCACTTTTCAACGAGTGCAACGTTCGACTTTAAATATTTCTGTACCGAAATCATCACGTTCGATTAACACGGCGAGAAAAAAATATCGAAAATGATCGAATAAGTTTTTTTGCATCGACGAGACCACGTTCGAAGGAATGCAACGAGTCCGAGAGCTTTCGTGAAACCGGTTCTCCTCGTAAACGCCATTTGACACATTTCCCGTGAAACGGTATACGCATAGACACGAACGCGCCTACATATATTTCCAGCGATCTCGCAAAAACCTTTCGAAACGCGTTAAAAATATGTATGTATCGTAAAAATGTTATCCTAATTGCCATTTAAGCGCGAAATTGTTCGGGAAGAATGGCACGCCCGTAAGTAGGAAAACGAACCTAACCTCTCAGAAGGTAAAGGCGGTTTCACCGCTCGTCTTTCGATTACGAGTCGAAGACGAATAGAACGCGCGCATGAACTCCAATTGTAAACAATTACGACTCTACCTTTCATCGATCAAAACTATTCGAGTAAAAAATGTAGCATTAAATGCTCACGATAAATACATACGAAGATCAATTTATTTTCGCGCGATGACGACGCACCGTTTCTATGGTATTTGTCCTTCCAAGCTCTATACATAGGCGCGCGTATTGAGCGTAACCTTAAGCAGCGATTCGCGATGGAAAAACGGTTTCGCGATTTCTTGCATGTTACACGGTGCGCGTTCGATTCGAAAATAAGTTTCATCGCATAACTTTTAAGATCAACGATCTATAAAACCTACAGAAATAGAATTTTTGTTTCTTCGCTCTTCTCAAGTTCAATCCCCCCGACCTATTTCTCGGGGACAACGAATTATTAAATTTACGAATTATGAAATTACGTCACCGAACGAATCACGACACGTAACGAAGGAAATATCGATCGAAAGATGCAACAACTTCGCGATTCATTCGTGATTCGATAACTTTCGTATTTCGCTGCAAACGATGTACGTAAGTAGGTACATACCACGAGACTTTCTCTAACTTTTGAATCGTCGACTCCAGTTTCCTCGTTCTCCGATAACCAAATATAGATGATACGCGAATGCCCGTGCATCACTGTGATTTTCGACCAACTTTCGAATGATCTGATTGTCGTCGTTACGTACGTCAGTTATCGATTATCGATCGTAATCGTAAATCGCGTCGCGTCGATCGCGACGCGA